CCTATGTTCTTGTCTGCTTTATCTGTGTTAATAGAGTTCTACTGATTAACTACTTAAGTACCAACTTTCCTTTGCACTTGAATATTTCTCCATACTCTTGTTTCTCTTCAGATCATAGAAAGCTTTTGCCTTTTACTAAATATTTCTCCAGCTCAGATATGTGAATCCACCATTCTACCTGGCCTTTCTATATGGATCTCTGTCATTCATATTCAGCTTGATGAGACATAATAACAGCCACTTCTATCCCAAAAGCCACTTCTACCCCTATCTTCCCTGTTCACTGTCCTTACTTTAGTTTCTTCTCTCATCTATTCAAGACTGCAATATGCTCCCGGTGTCTCACATGACCTCTTAAAAGTAAGAGATTATTCATATTCTTGTTAATTGGAGACAATAAAAATCCATTGATGCTGTGGCTGTATGTTTTATAAAATTAATTTGTTGTGTTTTTTAATCTCTTTTTTTAGCCTCTTTGGATTTTTGATAGTTTTAATTATTTTCTCTCTGGACTATGGACCTGCTCTCAGCTACAAAGAGCCCTTCTCTGATACTCCTGCTACCTAACCTCTTAGGTTGAGTCAGCTGGTCTTTTTATGTACTTCTGAATCATCCTATGCATATCTTCGTTATTGAACTTACTATAATGAGAAAGCATCATTTGCTTTATTGGATCTACTCTGAGGTCATTGACTGCTAGAACTCTACATTAATAAATTCTATATCTTTAGACCTTGATATTTGACTCAAAGTTGAGCGTCATAAGCAAGTTATTATTCTTAAAATGAATTTGATCTTTCTTTGAAACTAGGAGAAATAAGAATACTTAAACATTTGATTAGGTATTGAGGAGGGATTAAGACAGGTTTATATGTATAAAACATTATTCTTCAGAATTTTGGGGAATTGTTATTGTTGTTGCTTGCCTTCTAGTTGAGCACAACTCATAGTGATCCTATGAACAAAAGGCCTAAAGCCCCTCTACAACTATTGACATTTATCAAAATTCACAGAGTCCCAGGGGCATGTTATTTAGGAAGTGGATTAGTAGAATATATATCATCAATAACATGACTCCAGAAATTCTGAGAACTTTGATAAATGTCAATGATTGTAGGGGTCTTCAGGCCTTTTGTTCATGGTGTTGCTATGAGTCATGCTTGACTCG